TTACTTTGGAGAAAGTTTCTATTTTTACTGTAATTAAGTACTCATCTGAAATAGATTAAAATAAAAGTGCATATTGTAATTCCTAGAGCAGAGGTGGGAATGTCCATCTGGAGAGCCATTGAAGGCCTGGGAAATCATTGGGTTTGGGCCCGCTAAAGCATTAGGGGAAAGTTAATTAAACGTGTGACCAAATATAGCAGGCTGGTTTTTAAGTTGATAATTGTGTATGGTCAGCAAACGCTGTTATAGATATTTAAATGGCCCTTGGCAGAGAAAGGTTCCCCACCCTGCTCTAGAGGAAACACTAATTAAATAACAAAAATAGAGTAAAAAAAAATAAATGAAAATTAAATGGTATACTGGAAAGTATCTAGTACAAAGAAATTAGTAAAAAAGGAACATAGGAGCAAAAATAAAAGTGACATATAGAAAACAAATTACAAAATGGTAAAGGTAAATTCAAATCAATAATCACATTAAATGTGGATGGTCTAAATACTCTAATCCACATGTGTCAAACACAAGGCCCGCGGGCCAAATCCGTCCCGCCAGGCCTTGCAATGTGGCCCGCACCGCGCTGTCATCACTGCACTCCCCTGCGTTTCCATCACAATGACAGTTTATGACTGTTCAGTAAACCATTTGGCCCGCGATTTAGGCTGGATTTTAGATTTTGGCCCTTTCTCTGATTGAGTTCGACACCCCTAAGGCAAAACTATCTTCATGATTCAATTATGTGCTGTCTAAGAAACTATAGATTGAATGACACAAAACCATTGATAGGAAAAGCTTGAAAGAAGATATGTCATGTAACATTAACTTTAAGACATCTGTAAATATGTAAATATAAAATAGACATTAGGAAAAGAAAAAGAGAATTATTTCATAATGGAAAAAGTGTCAATACATAGGGAAGCTATAACAATTATAAATATATACAGACTTTAGGACACTCCTCACCATGACTGTAGAGTGTCAATACATAGGGAAGCTATAACAATTATAAATATATACAGACTTTAGGACACTCCTCACCATGACTGTAGAGTGTCAATACATAGGGAAGCTATAACAATTATAAATATATACAGACTGTAGGACACTCCTCACCATGACTGTAGAGTGTACGTTATTTTCATGTACACATGGACCATTCTTCAGGATAGACCACTCTGCTGGACCATACAACCATAAATCCACTGGTAACAAAAGGCACATCCATATGATGGGTCTTATTCAACTAAAACAGAACAGACTGCTGATACACGAGAACATGAATAAACCTCAGAAACCATTTGCCAAATAAAGGGAGCCTGATGCAAAAGACTTCCTAGCAGATGATTTCACTTACACAAAGTATCCAGAAAAAGCAAATTTACAGATTCAGGAAGCAAATAAATAGAGGTTTTCCTCGGGCTAGACGTGGGAGTGTGAAGTAACTGCAGTGAGCACAGAGGAACTCTGCTGGGCGATGTAATTATCCCAGAACGGGCTATGAATTTATTAAGAATCATTGATTATACACTTAGAACAGGTGAATTCTCAATAAAGCTAAAGAATTATCTAACTATGTGAGATAATAAAGACTACTTTGAAGAAAAGTAAGACAGTAAAAAATTAGTGCAGTTATTAGTGTGGTTTGCCAAATATTGTACTTTCAATCTTCTCCTTCGAGGCATGCAAGGCTGGACTTTTTGAACTGGTGCGTAGTTGGGGCAATGAGTTTTGAGTGGAGTATGACTTACAGACAAGGATTCCATTGCCAACGTGAGAACCTTCAGGAGCTCAATCTCTCCCTTTACCATGTGGCCTGTCTACAAGCACCACCCGGGATGATGGCTGTCCCTTTAGCCTGGGTCTTTGAGTCATGGGTGGGCAGGTTACCCGCGCCCCGGTTACAGTGTGACACAGACGGGCAGTTAGGGAAAGCCTCAAAGAAGGTGCTATTCAGGTAGAAGTCTGATAGAGGAGAGTGTGAGCCACGTGGATCTCTGGGGGAAGGTGTGCTGGAGAGAGGGCAGAGCACACAGAAGACTGGCACACCTGAGGAACACTGAGGTGGCACCACCGGTGCTGAGCCAGTGTGGGCGCACACGGGAGAATGTGATGGGTCAGGGTGGGCTGGCTGGATGGGAGTCCACGGGGATGTGCTGTGCTAGTGACAGGTCTCATCAGGTTTAGGCGTTAGGAGCCTTGGTCCAGCTGCAATATTGGGAAGACACAGAAGTGCAAGGGTAGGATCAGCAAAACAATGAAGAGCTGAGTGTTGAATTCACACCCAGCTACCAGTCTACAAGCACCTGGCCTCCTCAGCCCGATGCTTACTCCTCCCAACAGCTCCCATTGCTCGTGAGAAAGCCCAAGTTTCTCAACGTGGTACCCCCTACCTTTCCACCTCAGCCCTTTCTACCTTCAGTCTCTCCCGCCCAGGCTGCCATTCTCCTAGGACTGTGGTCAGCAAACTGCGGCTCTTGAGCCACATGCAGCTCTTTGGCCCCTTGAGGGTGGCTCTTCCACAAAATGCCACAGCCTGGGCAAGTCTATTTTGAAGAAGTGGCGTTAGAAGAGGTTCAAGTTTAAAAAATGTGGCACTCAAAAGAAATTTCAGTGGTTGTACTGTTGCTACTTGGCTCTGTGGACTAACGAGTTTGCTGACCACGGTCCTAGGACATACTCTTGCCTCCCTGCCTGGAGAGGCCACGTGAACAGTCACTGAGTTGGGCAGGCAGGAGGGAGGGGTGCGATGGAGGAGGATGCCCTTTCCAAGGTGCCCCTTGGTCCTGACGGTCCGCTTGTAGGCCAGGAAGTTGGGGATCCGTAGGAATAGCTGGGTTCAGAGCTGCTTTCTTCACTTCGGACTCTGGCAGGTGTGGCAGAGGCCACCATCTTTCCTGCCGCTGAGGCTCAGGTGTGCAGTGGCTGCTCATGCTGGGGGTGCCCAGGAAGGTCAGCTGCAGAATAACTCCCCGCCCCCATCCCTGGAAGAGGCAGGCCGGCGGCAAGCAGAGGTCTGGGAGGCTGCTGGGAGGGTGCAGCCGGCTGGGACAGACAGGGGTGTCATAGGAATATGCTAACGTGCTAGAGCCACAGGTGCCCACGGCGGGCGCAAGTCTCAGCATAGGCCCCGAAGGAGACCAGACCTGGCTGGCCTCTGACTTTGCTGCAGGTGGCTCCTGGTGAGACAATATTGCGGGCGAGGTAAAGGGAAGTATGGCAGCACAGCGAAACCCTGAAGAATATTCTGTTTTCCCAAACTCCCCGAACATCTCAGTTAAAAACAGGCTCAGGTTCCTCAACAGTCTCCTCCAGGATCTATGGAGAGGGAAAACAGAGGAGGGGGAGGGAGGGGAAAGGGAGGCAGACAGAAGGAGAGAGAGGGAGAGAGAGGGAGGGAGAAGAGACAGAAGGATGGGAGGAAGTCACTTCCCTGTGTGACTGACCCCTCTTCCCAGTGGCGCTGTGGGCCTTTTTGACAAAGCTGCCCGCTGTCTGCGATGCATGTCACGGTGTGGACGAACCTGAAAGCTATTCTCTAAGGCAGTGTTTCCCAAATTTTTGACATATGTGTGCCCCTTCTATAATTTTCATAACACTGAGTACCCCTCGTACTCAAGAGAACGTAGAATTAGGCGCAGCTAAGCACGGTGCAGTGCATACCCCCACCAAACTCTTCCCGTACCCCTGGGGGTACGCGTACCGCACTTTGGGAAACACTGCTCTAAGGCAAGGAAGCAGTCACTGAAGGACTCATGCTGAGTGAGTCTGTTCACGTGAACCACACAGCACAGGTAAGTGCAGAGAGAGAGACCCGCAGGGGCCACAGCGTAGTGAGAGGGTGTTTCTTTGGACATAAGAACACCTGGAGCTGGAGAGGTGGTGGCCACAGACACTGTGCCAGTACCAATTCCATACAATTAATGCATCACTTAAAAATTGTTACTTTTATGTGAATTTCACTATAATAAAATCACCCCAAGTACAGGCTTAAAACGTCAGGTATTCATGCAGTATCTCATTTGTCTTTCTTAAACGATCAGCATCTGCACCTGGTGTCTGGAACCTTCCACAAAAGCAAGTGAGTTTCCCCCTCAAATCCGATGATGCTGGAACGCAGAGATCTTACAGACCCACAATGCATTGGGACCGGAGAGAGTTAAAGGCCAGATCAGCTGCTCCCCACCATTTGCAGGAGGGAGCCCAGAGACCAAACACCCGCAGGGCCGCCACACAGGGCCAGCCTGGCCCAGCACCCTGCTCGCAAACACAGAGCCTGGCTCCTCGCCCCACAGACACGGCGCAGACCCCCAGAGGCCATCCAGCTGCGCCTCCCTGGGCTCGAGCTGGTGCTTCCTGGCCCACTGAGTGGTGGCTCCCTGGGGGTTAAGGAACATGCTGATGCTGGGACCCGCCCTCGATCAATGAGACGGTCTCCGGTATTTAAAAGGCCTGGGATTTGACAAAGCTCCGTTCTGGCTTAAGGCACAGCTGGTTCAGGACACTGCCTTCCCTTCCCGCAGTATCTGGGATTTCCCAGAACCCTGGCCAACGCCCTGCGGCCCAGCAGCACCTGCATGACTCCCAGCTGGCACCCCCACCAGAGGGTCGTTCCCCTTTTAAGTTACCCCCTCCCCCCGGCCCCCTGGCACTATGCCGGGGGCGACAGCAGTCCTCTCGATTTCTGTATAAGCTCCTGGCCCAACTGTTTCCACGCCGGCCCAGTGCAGCCTTAGGAGGCACTGCCTCCTGGAAAGGATGCGCCGTTCGCACCTCGGTCTGCCGTCCTCAGAGCCCGGGCTCCGGCGGCCGTGGCCACCCGCAGGCTCTGCTGTCCCGCAGACCTGGAACAGTTCCCCAGTTTGGAGTGAGCCCTGCACCCGGCCAGTCCCTGGGCCCTGGCTGCTCCCGCCTGCAAGCTGAGAGGGCCCCTGTGGATGGCGTCAGAGACTCCTCCTGAGACTAAAGGTAACCCCACTCCGCACAGAATAGAACAGAATTCCTACCAAAATATCTGGCCGCAGACGTTCTCCTTCTGCCGGAGGCCGTGGGCAGCATGGTGGGCGGAGCTGCCTGCTGCGCTCAGGAGCCTGGCAGGGTTTTAGGAAGCAGCAGCCACACACCCCCGCAGACAGGCAGCTCCGTCTGGCAGCGCAGGAGGCAGCATTTCCAGGAAAGAGGGCTAGAATGAATGCACGGCCTAGCCTCAGCCTTCCAAAAAGAGGCCTCGCGCTGAGGAATCGGCCCCCTCAGTGCCAGTGTCCCCTGGGGTCCTGGGAGGGCCTCAGGCAAGTCACGGGGCCTCCGGTATCAGTTCCTCAAACGGTGAAGGGAACAGCGATGACATGGATCCTAGGAGAGCAGAGGATGGAGATGGTGCGGTAAACGCCTTCCACACGGTCAGACACGTGACCTTTGCCACCCACTGGCCTGGACTGGGAAGGAACCGTGCTTCTGGGCTCCAAACCCGGCGCAGACAGCCATCTCCACCCTGCAGCACGGCCAGAGCCACCCCCCGCGGTGCTGCGGGCACAGTCCTTCCCGTGGGGCCCCGGGCCCAGCGCGCCGGCACCCAGGCCAGGCTGCACCCTGACCCCCTAGCCGCTGCAGGCCGCTTCTGTTCCATTTCCGGGAATTGGGCATTGTTGATGGTTGTGGAAAATCAGAGAAACCTGGTTAGGAGATGGCCAAGTGAGGGATGTGCAGCTGGTCTCCCTGACGTGCAGGGGGTTGCACATACAGAGCTCAGAGGCCAAGGAGCGGCTGTGGGGGGGTCGCCGGGCTGACCTTCCTGCGCGGCCTGCCTCCCTGCTCCCTGCCTCTGCTGAGCTGAACTTGCACCGTGTCTGCGGTTCCAGAACCCACCGCTGTTATGCAGATAAAACCAGCACAGCCAAGCTCCAGGCGGTGGGTCCCTTTCCTATGGTGGGGTCCCTCTCACCCCTGGCTGCCCAGCAAAGCTCAGGCTCCGGCACCCCAGGCTGCTGGGCAGGCAGCCTGGGGCAGCGCTGTCTTGCTATAGGCCTTGGCAGTGGGTGGACAGCCTCTGCAGCTGGGGTCCTCTGTTCCCTGGGGTGCTCTCCGTGCCCAGGGTCCTCTGTGCCCGGGGTCCTCTGTGTCCGGGGTCCTCCCTGCCCGGGGTCCTCTTCTTGAAGCGTGAACCTGGACGAGCATTGGAAATGGCGAGGAGCAGTGCGCACGCTCAGCTCCATTGAGTCTCAGTGTGCTCCGGAGCGGCAGGGATACACACTGCTGTGCAGGTGCTCACTGTGGTCTGGCACCTTCCTGTATGGTCTTGGTCTCCATTTTCATCTTTGGTCAAACGGGATAACCAGGTAAGAACCTTTTAGTTGCTGGAAACCAAAAGACAATTAAAATGGGCCTAAAACACAATAAGAGGCTTATGGTCCCTTTAGTGGGAAAGTCCGCCCAATAAGGACTCGACACATGGCTGGATTCAGCAGCCTGACAATACCCACTCCTTCTGGCTCTCCTGTTTGCTTCCCGGGTGTCTGCTTCACCCCATCAAGGCTTCCTGATGAGTAAGGAAGGCTGGACCCAGCTCAGGAGCCCCTGCTCCTCCTCCACGTCTAACAGGCTTACACTGGGAAAGGACATTTCCCTGCCGTCTCCCTCAGCATGCTGGGAAGCCTCCTCCCCCTCATGGCCTTGATTGGGCTCCCAATCCACCCCTGAGCCAACCCTGAGGCTGGGGAGTGAGAGGTGCCGATTGGCTAATGCAGCTGGATGTGCCCGGCAGGCGGAGTGGGCTGCCACTCTGGCTGGTGTGTGGACGAAAAGAGCTACATGCCAACCTGACAAGCTCAGGGGAGGCCTGCGTGGCAGTCTTGCAAACTCAGAGACCTAAGATAACCACAAAAGATGGTCTGAAAATTAAATATTTAACTACAAACAGGTTATAGTGGGTTGTCATGTCCTAGGCCAATATTTTCCCTGACAAAGATCAATTTAGATCTTTACTGAGCCCATTTGCCTTTTTGCCTCTAAGATAGCATATCTGTGAGATGTCTGGGTAACTTGTAACTTCCTTTTTACTCTGGACCCCTCAGGGCACAACAATTGGCATCGAGACATTCCCTCATTGTTATTGTTATCAAGTTAATTGTCAACTGTTAATTACGTTAGAGTATCCTGTACCCATCTCTGTAAGAGAAGCTCATGCCCATCATTTCACTTTTCACCCTATCCCAGAGGTTTCCCCCGCTTTGCTCTGTCCCACCTCCCTAATCTATAACCAATGAATTTCATGTAACTCACCTACGTCCCTTTCCTTTGATTGCAATGTATAAATATAGATGTAATTCTGCATTCTCCAGAGCATTATCTCAGTTCATTGAGGTTCTGCTTCAAGCATATGTCGACAGTTTGGCTCAAAAAAACTCACAAAAATTCTTTACAGGTTTCAAGGTGTTGTTGTTTTTTCTGTTAACACAGGGGAGCTGGAGTAGATGCCAGGGCATGATGACTACGGGAGAGGAGAAAGGCTCTAAGAGTACAATGCCCACTGCAGGTCCTCTAGGCCAGTGGTCAGCAAACTCATTAGTCAACAGAGCTAAATATTAATATAATAGTACAACGAGGAAGCGCCTGGGCCGAACATCACTAGTCAGCACCAGGCTCCCTGGCTCCTCGGTGCCTCTGGGGAGGATGCCGGTGCCCTTGTCCTTGGCCGATAAGAGCCTGAAGCATCCTCGGCTCAGGAAATGTTTCCCCTGGAGGCAGACCTCTGCCAGGAAGGGCTGGGGCAGCGAGGCTGAGCCAGGGACGCCTGCCTGGAGTTTGACTTGGTGCAGAGCGCCCCCTGGCGGTCACCAGCCCCACGCCCCGTGGACCATGGCTTCCCACCAGCCCCATCTCTGCATTTTCTCTGCCTTGTCTTTAAGCTCCAAGATGCCCCACCCTCACCTGCAGCCTTCCTTCCCTTGCAGTCACGTGAGGCTGGCAGGGTGTGTGGATTCCTGGGGATTTCTACACGGAGTCTGCTCAGAGCAGCTGGGTTCTGCACCCCGGGCCTAGTTATGTGTGTTCAATATGGGGATGAAGTTAGGGCTGGAGAAGTCATCAGAGGGGAGGAACCCTCAGGTTGCAGAGGGGGGATCTGAGCCACTTCTCGAGGCCCAGCATCACCCCAAACTCCCCCCTGTGGGCGGGGAAGCTGAGAAAGGTTCAGCCAGCCTGGCCGGGGTGGCTCAGCTGGGTGAGTGCTGTCCCAGGCACCAGGAGGGCACCTGTTCCACTCAAGGTCAGGACACATGCCTCGGTTGCAGGCTTGAGCCCCCTTCTCTGAGGGCGGGTCAGCCTTCCCCTCACTGGGGCTCTCATCCTCCCTGACCACGGCAGGCATGGCTGGCTGTGGACGGGTAGACTGGGAATCTGGGTAGGGCTGGGGCTGGGGTGGAGGGTCATTCAGTTCAGCCTCCTGGAGATGACAGTGGCAGAGGCAGGCCCACCATCCACCAAAACACAGAGGAAACCTCCACCAGCCCTCAGAGGGCCCTGGGAGGGGGCAGCAGGCTGTGGTGGAGAGAGTTGCTGGCACAGGTGAGGGAGCACCCCTCCTGCTGCAGGGCCAGGACTCAGCTGCTGATGAGCAAGGTGAGTGTGCCGAGCTAAGAGCCTGCAGGCCCCACTGGCACCAGGACCGATCGGAATTGGCAGGCCAGGCCAGGCCTCCGCTATGCTCACCAGTGAGGGCGAGCTCCCGGCCCTGCCTGCTGGGAGGTGGTGCGGGCTCAGCTGGAAGAACAGGGCATTGAGGGGCTCATTTCCCACCTGCAGGATGAGGAGGCCCGCATGCTTCCCCCCCCCCCCCACCCCCATCCCCAGCGGAGGGAGGGAAGTCAGGGAAGACTTTAGCTCAGGGCTGTGCACCGGTCCCCACGGCCTGGCAGTGACACGCACCATGGCCAGGGAGCGCCCGCTCCTCCACCTTCTCCCAGCAGCAGCAGCATTGGCTGGGACCATTCTGGTTCTCAAATGGAGCTTCCTGGACGTTTTTGTAAATTCTGCATTTTAATTTACATGATAAACTGAAAAGCAAGCTATTATAAGTTGGGATTACTGCCTGACAGTCAAACACCCCAAGTGGTGTTAGTGCCTGAGTTTGCATTTGTGTTTAAAAGCAAATTGGCAGCAAGTGGCAGAGAACCAGTCTGTCTTTAACGCTTAGTGTGTGGGGCTGGCGGCCACACTGTGTGTGTCTCCTGGGTCTTTTCTGGGACCTCCCGGTGACTGGGTGGGAACCCTCAGCCCTGGCCAGGAACCTGTCACCATCAGCGAGCTGAGGGGCTTCCCTGAAATGTCGGGGGTCAGGAAGCCCCAGAAACCGGGTGGTCCTCGCAGGCCTGTGGAGGCCTCTGCTCACCGAGCTCAGCTCACAAGCCGAACCACACACAGGCCACTGCTGAGCTCTCAGGGACTGGGTTTTGCCAGCACAGCTGTCTTGTTTTCCGAGTTGTCACAGGTGCGGCGGGGGCGGCGGGTGCACGTTGTTTTGTGTGGGCTCACGTGTTCGCTGATCTGGAGCCTGGGACTGGCTCCTGCTTTGGAAGAGGCTTGGCATCGCTGGCGGGAAGGAGCAGAAGCAGTAACAGAGTGCGCAGCTGAACCCGCCTGCACTGGGCAACTGCGGCCACAGGATGGAGCTCTCTGCACACGGCTGGGCATCGATGGGCCCCACAGCGGTGCCCATGACCGGGCTGAGCAGGGCTCCTCCCTGGAGCGGGGAGGCTCTGCTGGCCCGAGGGGCTCCGCAGAGGAGGCACCTGCACAGCACCCGCGGGAAGCACTCTGGGGCTTCAGGGCCCGGTGCGGGTGAGGCGGTGCGGGTCCAGGGAGCCCATCTGAAGGAGGCAGAGTGCCCCCTGCCGCCCCAGTGCAGCCTGGGCTGGGGCTGGGAAGCAAGCGCTGAGGATGGCGCCCAAGGCTCCAGATCAGGGAACGTGCTTTGGCCATAAGCCCTGCCAGCGAGGTCACATAGCCGAGGCGCCAGGTCCGGCTCTTGCCCCAAAGGCAGCGCCAGGACGAGCAGATGTACTTCCTGGGAGGGGGCAGGAGGGACCGAGCTGCCCAGCCCAGTCAGATCTAAGGCCGAGGCTGTGCGGCTGAGCCCATGCTGCCACCCCACCCCCCGCTCCCCTGCAGCCTGGGCTTCCCTGGCTCCGGCACAGGCAGCTCCCCAGGAGGCGGGCGGAGGGCCAGACCACCAGCCTGCTGGCTCCCATGGCAGTTGAATGAAGGAGCCCAACTGCGAGGAGGCACAGGAGGCAGGTGTGTAGGTGGCTGAAGCCAGCCGCAGACGTTCTGGTTAATCCCAATCATCACCCTGTGGAAAGGAAACGAGTGATAAATTCAGGCGGGATGGGGAAGAACAGGTGAAACTGAAGACGACGGCATGGAAGAGAGCTGCTGAGGAAACAGGGCATCCAGACTCCTGGGCTGGGTTT